AAGATCCAAAATTCTGAGATTAATTTCAGAATTCTGAGAAAAAAGTCAGAATTCTCAGAAAAAAGTCAGGAATAAGTCAGAATTCTGAGATTTCTTCCCATAGTAAACTGAAATAATGTTTAAAAAACAGTGAACTTTTTTATTTCTTGAATCCTCCTAATCCTCTTCCGTACATTTTAACTCTGATGAAAATATGAGATGGATCAGTCATAAACATGGAAACATGCCACTTCAGAATGTTAAATTGGCTTTCAGAGAGCTTGTTTGCTTAGCAAATACGTAAAGCGCAGCAAATACTGGAAAACTTCCTCTATTGGGAAGGAAACGTTTTGCTTTTTACTCTGATTTACTTTGTTGCCTAGTTGGACTAGTTCGCTCGGTCTATTTTAAAGCGACACAGCTGCTTTAATTGGATGAGCTAACACCGAGGCTAACTAAGGATGGGCAGTAGGAAGACTTATCAGCTAACGCCTGTTAGCACATCCTATTTGCACTTAGCGTCTCTTTTCCGGCTCCTTGGTGTTTGAGCCGCTGTGGGGGGGAAGCTGAAAAAGCCAAGCAGCCTCTGGCACTGCGTTACCTTGACAGAGTCCACGGGGTACATCACGGTGTGCTCCAGTATGCCTGCCACAGCTCCGGCTGTCATGTGGGTCGTCACGGAGACATGAGGCGGCAAGCTCTCGTAGTCCCCATCGCTGTTATCATTGAAAGGCTCCCCGTCTTCTCCGTGGATCTGCGACATCTCCAGTGTTGCCAGCGCAGGGTCCGAGCTTAACTCCATGCGTGGGAAGCTCTCACAACAGGCGGCCTTTCGTGCAAGAGGACAAACGGAGGAGCTTCGGCGGCGGCATGGACAACCACAACATTACCTCTACTCATCGGAGTTCCAGCAGCGCCTGTAGGACGCAAGGGGGTGTGGCTTACAATGGAACGAGCCAATCAAATCTAGGGTGGTGATAAAGTAGGCGGGCTTTTCGTCGGGGAGTCCAATGAAAAGTTTCCGTGTTGGATTCCTGGTACATCTCACAGCGCCGCCGGTGAAACTATTTGGTCCAAAAGTTTTTTGAATGAGTTTTACGGTAAAAGTGCGATCCGATCTTTTCAGAGTGCTGCTGGAGTAGATAAACAGCAGGTGTGGTCTCACTATCGAATAACACGTGTTCTTGGAGAAAAACCTGTCCTATCTACAAGGAGTGGTTACTTCTGACCAACTATAGTTAACTGAATTTTATAGATAACACAACATTTCTAGAGGCAACACAACTCCAAAATATAAAACCAATTTACATGCAGTTTTTCTTTACCAAAAAGAATGAATAAACACCATCCAATGCAATCCAGTTTTATTCATTAAGCACTTAAAAACAACCACAGCTGACTAATGTGCTATACAGAAAAAAATAATACTAACATTTT